ATTAAATAGAGTTAAATAAAAATAATTCAAGTTAGAAAAAAATATTAAACTATGTACCAGGTGGCATGATCCTTAAAGTTTCTTTAATAACACATTCCGAATATTTCAAATGTTCAATTTCGTCATAAGTTGGATGATGATTACGGTCAGTAAATAAATCAAGCACTTCTTTACGAAGACGATCCTGAATATCAGGATTTTCAGCGAGAAAGTATAAAATCCAAGATAGTGCAGTACTAGTAGTTTCGTGTCCAGCTAAAAGTAATGTCATAACCTAAAGTTTAAAATTTTATATTTAATAAGTTATGCTACAAACAAAAAATGTGGCAGCTTATTCTGAGATTAGCTTATGCTGAGAATTTGATATATTTTATTATGAAATTGGTTTTTTTTGTAGCCTCTTTTTTCACAGTTAGGTTAGGTTAGAGTTCAGGATTGGTATTTTTAATAAAAGAGAGTATATGTGGATTTTAGTAGATATTATAGATTTAAATTGGGACCAAAATCTCAGAATAAGCCGATCTCAGCATAAGCTCTCGCAAAAAATATTTTTTAATAAATAAATTCTTGCCTGACTAATCAATTCTTTATGAGTTAATTGTTCATCAGCGGGTAAATTTTCATTCGCTTTTATCAACAATGACAATAAATCAGTTCCACGAACAGGGCTATTTTTTTGTTCAGCAACTAGTCTCTCAGAAGTATTATTGATAATTTTAATAGAATCATAACGTTCGTTATTGTAAGAAGTTGGAAATTTTCTGATTGGAATTATGTTGTTAAGGGTCAAGTATAAAACAGAATCATTTTGACTAGCTATTATATTGTATGCTTGAGCTAATTCAGATTGCGAGCCAGTACAATTAAATTCGTGATTAAACCCTAGCGATTACGAATATAAACGTCATTGATAAAATTTAGCAAGTAAAAACGAATACAGATTAATATTTACCAACACGACCGATAACATCTAAAGTTATCTTTGGAATTAAATCTGTAATCGTAATTCGTTCCACCTTTTTGTTGTCAATTTGTTTCATCCAAAGATCTTTTAATTTATGGCCAGCTTGAACGAATGTTGGAGCCATTTCCTTAGAATTGAAAGTTAAAATAAAATTAGATATTATATATATAAAATAATCCATAATCGTAAAAGCATACCTTGACATGCGAAAAACCAAATGAAGAAGACATCATTTTTCTTTGTCGTTTATGAGCTTCTCCTTCAGCAAATATAATACCTTCACCTATAACTTCTTTCAACATATC